ATGAAATTATAATTATATGCATTCGTCCTGCCAAGATTCGAAGTATATCAACAGGGCGTTGTACATTTCTAATGCATTTTCTATTTCTACAGTTACGAAAGCTAATTACATAGTTACGATAGCTACAGTTAAGACAGCTCTAAAATGAGCCGCTTCATAATTTACTTAAATCATCATGTTATTTAAAATATGGAATTGGTTGATCGTTTGTAAACAAAATTTAATATGTTTACAAACTTTATGGCTCTATGTTAATTATAAATACTACTACTTTTCATTATTGTATTCTCCCATAGAATGGAAAATGATAACTAATACGTGCTTATGTACATATACGTCCTCAAGCTTTCATTCGAAAATATCGCATATATCCTCGGGTCGTACAGTGTTTTGCTTTGTGAATCCCAAAATTTTTTAAAGCAGAATATCTTTAGAATTTGCAAAAGAGTTTTAAAGTATTGCCATGTATTTTTTCCAGTCTTAGCTCTATTTCATGTTCAGTTTTCTTAATAAGACGACAAACATTTTTATTTGTCATTTTAAGTTTGTTTATAAAACATCAGTGACTTCGCACTGACGCCACATAAAATTTAACAACAAAATCAGAAAATCTTTAACAGCAACATATATTTAGAATTCCCAGTAGAGTGTTAAGAGTTTTCATATGTATTTTTTTATATTCGCTATACTATTTGCGTTTTGCTTTGTTTTGTTTGTTTGTTTGTTTGTTTCTGAAAAAGAGAGACTTATGTCAAATCGATAAAATTTTATTCAGAATTTACGCCAATTTCACTTTGTTACTTTGTCTAGTTAAACATAGGATTTTCATCTAATATTAAATTATTTAATATTTAAAATACACTATTTATATTTAAAAAGTAACATCGACTCTCCTTTCTCTGGAAATATACATTAAGGATTTCCAGTTGTGTGTTTTTCTACAAACTTTTGTGTAGTATGGTAAATAAATGATTGATTTGGAAAATAATATGGGAATTTTGGAAAAAAATCTTCATAATAGGAATATGTACCTTCTAAATAACATATATAATTAATATATACTTAATAATAAAATATCAATGTATATTTATTTCCTAATCTGTTAAAAAAGTTTGCGAAAAAAACCAAAAAGTCTGGAAGGTTTTGCTTCTGAGGTAAAAAGGGGGATAGACGCTTCTTATCTTAAATTAATTATGTCTGCAGGTATGTGTGAACAGAAGTACTAAGATAGCAGTGCTTGGGGAAGTATGTAAATCATATCAAGAAAATTAGCTTTTTTCTTTCTTAAAAATCATAATATAAGTGTTTATGAATTAGAAGTAAACGAAAGAAAAGGGAGGATGATACTTAATTATGTTGGTAATATTCAAATTTAATATATATATATAGAGAGAACATTGTAGCACTTGTCGAGTTTTAAAATAATATTTAAAGAGATGAAATAGTGACCGACTGGGCAAAACCCCTGAATACTGATGTCTGATCAGGTGGCTAAAAAATATTCATCGTGTATTCCTCAGAAAGTTGCCCACGAAAGCAAAAAATCTTACAGCTGTACTTAATAACAAAGTGTAATAGCAATTTCTCGCCAAAGCGCAGCTTCATTGCGCCGGATAGGGCTTCGAAGTCTAGTCTATGGTTTTCTGGAAGAGTTGGAAGAACATCCACTGCGCCTGATCTCAGAAAAGCGGCGAGATGGCAGGCCTTAGCTTGGGAATCCCATCCATTCTCATCCTCCACTACAGAAAATTTTGTCTTATACTTTCCAGGAGGTCTTCTCGTCATATTTGGATAGCTTCATAGAGGGACGAGCAGGCATGGGTAAATATTTAAAACCATCAGAAGTGCTTCCTGCTGTCGCTATGCACTTCTTTAAGGTGTTAACTTCTTTGACTACGGCAGCAGAAATCCTTTCATCAATTTGTTGTTGGACGGCAGAAACTCTTCTTTTGATTCGTTGCTTCACAGTAGAAACTATCTTTTTTTTTTTTTTTTTTTTTTTTTTTTTTTTTTACAGAAGAAACTCTTTTTTCAATGTTCCAACTTTATTTTCAACAGCTTCAATACTGCCTTCCGTAGCCTCAAATTTGTATTCTATTACGTAAGTAATTTCTCTTTTCATTTCTTGGCCTGCTTCAATCTTTCCTTGAACAGCCTTATCACTTATTTAACAGATATTTGACCAACTTCTTTCTTTTCATGAACCGCATTCATCTCCTCTTTAACGGAACCTTGGGCAGCTTTCATCTCTCCTTTAATGGATTTTTTATCAGCTTTCATATCTGCTTTAACGGAATCTTTCATCTCTTCTTTAAATGCAGCAAAGGCTGCCATCAGCTGTCTTAACTGCTCCTCCATCGCTCTCCATCGTCTTAACTGAGCTCCATCCATTTTATTGGCATTCAGCCCCACCCCTGATACCAAAAAGTGTTGCGTGTGTCTGAGTTGGTAATTTTCCTCAGAGATATTCGTACAAGTGTTTACATTATCGCACAATATAATCAGTAGTTATACTCCAAACTACTAAAAACTTTGAAATAGAACGCAATGCAAAGAAAAAGCTAATCCGATCTCTCTCTGAACTCGCAACAATAACAACAGCAGCTAACCAAACAACTGAGAGAAACTATGTTCTCTGTCTGGTTTTTTTATAACTTTAAATCAGTCGCGAGAGATTTCTATTAATTTCTGCTTTTCGAGATTTCTGGAAAGCAAAAGAGTAGAATTATGGTTACAGCTAACATAATAGTAATTACATTTATTCAAATTAAATATCAGTTACCGAGATAAACTTTTATTCAATGTTAAATGCACGTGCTCCTGTATTTTTACTTTTCCGGCACAGCTTTCTCTTAAAACTCATCTCGTGCTGCATTGCACGGGGAAATAAAACAATTTTAATTATAATTCTACTAAGATAAGCTATCTAAATACGAAATTAGTAACGGTATTGTAGTATATAATGGCTGATAAAAAATACGGGTATTTTTAACAATATCTCAAAATTCTGTAGAAAACCGGAATTTTTTTTTTCCCCCTCCCACCGGTAGCACTTAAGCGACTTTTGAGTTGTAACTGCTGTAATTTGAAAAACAGATTAAAGTTCATGTGCTGCGTGGAACTAGGGTGACGTGCAGAGCTCACAATTCGTCAAACTGCGTGGTTGACTGATTCACTGTATGGAGTAATATAATATAAGCGGGTGTTGGAACTGGGAAAAGGAGGCTGGATTATAGAACCAATATTTCTCAAACTGAGCAGGGCCACTCCATGGAGATATTTAAATTATTTAAATAGCCATTAGGCATTAAAACTCCGAAAAAGAGCTTTAGATTTCAAAAGAAAAGCGATACTGGCAATAATTTCGTAATAATTTTACATTAAGATTTGATCTAATTTATTCAATGGCTTCAAGCCTTGCACTTTCATTTCCGCCTCCTTGATAGGTATAATAGACAGTAGTGCTAGCTGCCATATAATAGGACACAGGGTGGAATCCTGGAGGAAACATGAATGTATGGAAATGTGTAGTGTTTTTGAGGCAGGGAAGGAATCGAAGTGAAATCTTCTTCAGAGACTGATGGTAGTGTAAGAAGAGCAGGACACTTTGAATGGCATTCCGCCCGTGGTGTAACCTTCAAAACTAAGATGGAACGAAGAAATTTTATACTGTCACTTATGGGGCCTTGACAGCTTTTTGCCTCTTGTCTGTGATAAATTCGTGAGCCTGATTTGGATTGCGCAAAGACCAGAAGGAGTAGTCAGGACTTCAGTTTTGATATCATATTTAGTTGATTGAGATTTTAGGACTGTACATCAACTTTTAACGAAATAAAGAGTTCCGTGAAAATTGCTAAATGGGGTACTTCGTAGCTTTTATCAAAGAATTTGGGCCCTAATGTTAACAAGGCATCACTAACTTTTTCAATCAAGAGTATCAACTGCATCGATTAAATATTAAAATATAATTTTACTATTGTATCTCTAATAGTATCGTATTAGATTATTATTATCCCTCCTATTGTATTTTTAGAATCATATGTATTTTTTATGATAAAGAATTTAGATATCATATTGTTTATTACTTATATTGGTAACTTTACTCAAAGAAATGTTGATAAATCAAATTTTAATCATTTATTACTTAATTTAATTATTATTATTAATTTCTATGACAATAATTGTAACAATTATTAATTATTTTTTCCCAACACAAGAATTAAGAGCAACGCTACGTCTTAAGTAAATAACCTGCCCTGAATTTTTAGCAAACTGATAATTCTTTTCGGTGTTGCAGCTTATTTTCCCAATATTATAAATGTGGTTCCTTCTTAAGATCTTACGCATCCTTTTAGTTTTTAATCTAAAAGTCCTTATGCATCTTTCTAACTCTCGAATTATTTTCTTTGATTTTTGGGCCTGAGGAAAATGGATTTAATTATAGGGAAACTGTTAAGTAATGTCGATTTAGAAGGTTTGTAATATTTTTGCAAAGAAATGCAGTTAAAAAAATTTATTTGGAAAAGAAATTCTTAAATGATTCTTTTTATAATGCGGAAATAAAAAAAATTACACATCTTACAAAAATTTAAAAGAGTTCAAACAGAGTTTTATTTTCCGCCTGTGAATCTGCACAGGTATTAATAAGAAAACCTTTATGCGCAAAATTGAAAGATTTTAGATTTGCTCATCATTAAATCTCCTCTCACCTTCATAACATTTAAAACGAATTACATACTAAAATGGCTTCCATTTATTTATCTTATCATATAACAGACGAGTATCGTGGATGGGCGTGACAAAAGTAAATGCTCAAGATTAATTTTTTCCACTTAAACTGACTGGAACACTTTCGCTGCGAACAAATACGCGCGAAGAATGGGGACACGACCGAGGATGGGGATGAGAAGGAACGATTCGTTGAAAAGTTATTGGCGCCTTGTTGGCGAAAAAAAGCACTCGCCATTTCTCCGTTCTTCCAGGTGAATCTCGCCAGAGTCTCGCGCGCAGTGAGCGAGAACAGTCGTGAGATTACCTGTGTCTTGTGTGTGCCGACTCTATGGATTAACTTGTCATGGACCGGATCTGCTGCCCCGAGGAGCGGCGGCGGGCCGACCCCGCAAACGATCAAGAACTCTCTCCCGGGCTCGTTGCCGGATGCCGGGCGACTCCGCCGCCCGCCAGAGCGTACTGGAGGCCCCTCAGATTTATACAGCAGTTCGGTAAGTATTTGAATGCACTGTGCTCTGTAATACATTTTATTAATTGGAGCAGAAAGGATCAACCTTGAACAGAAATTCATAATTCTCGAACTTAGCAGCTGTTATTCTATAGTTGAATATTTATTACATGTTTGTTATGTTCTCTAATGCACAATGAGAAATTAGTTTCATAAAATTGCTAATTAATCAATGCATATTTTTATATTAACATCCCACTGAAGAAGTTATGTAAACTTGTTCATCAAATCAGTTACTAAGCAATATAAATAATTTCATCTTTTGATAACATTCCAATGCACATCTCATGCAGATATATTGCACACCAGGGTAACCACAACGTAGATATATGCTTTCGTGTCTTCTGAATACTCTTAATTTTGCATAAGATCTCCAGTGACATTCAGTTCAAATTCTGGGTTCTGCATGAGGTTTGCACTGAAAATCTTGTGCACGCTTTGCAGTGGATGTTTAAAAGCAATCTCCGACAAAAACTTCATGTGGCAGAATTTATATAAAGTTCGTACTGAACACCAGATACAAAATTTGCAGTGGTGTCCTTATGCACAGTGCAAAGTTTTAATTACATAAGAACGATATGCTCAGAGAATACCCTGAAAATGTCTTAATTTGCAAGCATGCTCTCTGTTACTGTTTTTTTAGCTCTGGCATCAAATATCTGCAAAATTTTCAACAAATTCAGCTTCTAGTCTAAGGTTTTTCAGATTAGTTTGCATGTTTTAGCATGTTGCATCTTTACCTTTTGACTATTCTTTTGCGAGAAATTCAACAAAATACGGGATATTGATGCAAACCAAACGGCCATCAGGATTTTAGTTTTTTACACAGAATGCTTTCAGGTGATCTTAGCATGCAAATGAGCATTAAGAGTATAGAATCTGCAAAGGATTATGGAATTTCAGTTTTTAATTTTAAAGCGTCGATTAAGTTTCGATATAACGAAAAGCTAACGATAAAAATTTTTAAAATTAAAGAAACAGAAACTTTTCTAAAAAGTAACGAACACCAGCATAAACTCTTCCCGCAGGAAGATTCAAATGAGTTACGTAACACTGAAAAGATATTTATAAAAAGTAACGAAAGCCCACCAGTTTTACAGTCGAAACATGCAAATCACGTGTACATGCAAATCGCTTTCGTTCTGGTACCAGAACTTCTAAATAAATCACCTTCTGGAAATAATATTTTGTCCTCTTTTGTGCTTCTTAACCCTTTAACATTGTCCATCTTTTATTTAAATGAAAAAAAAAATAGGTCCTTTTAAGTAACATATATTTTATTGAATAAATCTTTAATTTGGAAATTTTAAAGGAACTGGTATAAACTGAATGAAGAATGTTTATTTTGAGACTTTTGATGAACACAACACTAGAACACAACAAGGAAGAATAATCTATAGGTACAGGTACAGGTAAAATCATGGGAACACCAACAATGCCCCATAGGTCTGCTCGTAAGGCCTTCCCATACTAAATGATTCTTTAAAAAAAAAATCAAGCTTTATTATAATTTACAAATAAATGTTGTGGAAATTGACAACTGAAGCTTTCCAAATGATCTAGTGTTTTACATATTATGGTACATCGTGCGATCTCACCGTACGCTCCGCATCCAGTATTTATTAAAAATAAAGATTTAGGACATAAAGAGATTACAATATAGTCTCAATGCAATTTGAAATTCACAAATTAAATTGAAAATCTATTTTGGTTTGATGCTAATCGGATAGATGCGCATTCTAACTTTCTCAAATATAGCATTATTCTATATTTAAGAATATTAACTATTCTTAAATATAGAATATGACGTTCGTTTCAAAAGAACGGTATATTCGATCTTTAAGAAGATAGTAAATGCGCAAAAGGAGATGAATTATTAGAATCTGGGAAGGAATCTATTAATTACTTTTAATTTTAGTAAAATTTTAACGAAGATAGACTAACTGATAGTAAATAATAAATATAGTAAAGCAGCGAGGCCTATCTACCGAAGGGAAGAGACAGCTTCATTGAGGAATTTCTTAGAGAAATTGCATTCATTTTACATATAGAAAAGTCTATGAAATGTGTCTGCAGGCAGCCATTTTGCCGGGGATCAAGCTTCTGATTAAAAGACCTTATTTCGCAGTTTCATTTACGTAGTCCCTTGTGAGAAATTTTGATGAATTGTGAGAATTGGAAACGCATGCAAAAAATTAAATTGCAGAAAGCAAATTCAAAACTAGTATTGAATAAATAAATTGTGCCATCAGGAAGTAAAAGCTAATTAAAAGGAATAGTATAATTTAGCATAATTGACAATAATGCACAGTGAAAGATCGTCTTACTGATGATTGTTCAAGTAGAAATTGTCAAAACTAATTATCGACTTCAGTAACGCGGTGACAGCACGTCCGCCATTCGATGTAAAACTCGTAAGTCTTTAATAAGAGTCCACATATTGCAATGACCCTGTCAGGAGAACGTAAAGTGACAACGCAGTGAGCATGCATTGGGTCTTGTACTATAAGTCACTTAGCCTTGATATCTTACCTAATTGGTAAAGGAAAATCTAGACAAGAATTTCACGAAGTAATAACTTAAGCTTAAAAAAAAAGTGAAGGAGAAAGTAAATATAAGTCATTGTTTATCATTTTCCACTTATTGCTTTCAGCTGTATAAGACGCACAGCTATAGTCAATGTTTTCCTTAACATGCTTATATTTTTGAATATATTGCTTCATGGCTCATTATTTGGATCGTTAATGAAAGTTTTGTTTGTTAATATCTCATACTCGAATGTATGCATCGAAAGTGAAAATACCGTTTGATTCCATATAAGACAATGCGCGATCGCCCACACCAAGAACTCAAAGGGAAGTTTTAATACTCTTTCAAACATGCACTTTATCTTGTCAGCCTTCAAATGAATCATTTAACATACGCATCAGAGAGTTTTAGATGAAAACTCCTAAAACCATAATATTAATCCGTGCTCTTTTAAGCCAACTGATTTTTATTTGTAAAGAAATATATTTAAAATATTCCTTTATGCTTTTTTATTTTGAATCAGTTGACAATATGCCATTATAGAGGTATGCGGAATTGTCCTTTTAGAAATGATATTCCAAACAAAAACTTTGTAAACAAAATTGTAAAAAAAAAGAGACAAAAAAATTGTCAGCATATTGAAGAAAGCATAATGAAGGCGCTTAGGCATAGAAAAACGCTTTTATCTTCTTCAGCTGTAGCTGGAATCTTAATTAAACCACGTTTTCTTCAACGTCCTGTCCGTTTTTGTTGCCATTTGCTTTTTAAGCTAGCAATTTAGGATAGATGGAAAGAAAACTCGCCGACTTCAGCTATAACTGGTTCTAATTAAAACATACCGATTCGGTTTCCATTAAAAATCCCTTTCATATTGGGGTACTGAAGCAGGCTATAATTATTCAAAGCTCTTTTTTTTTTTTTTTTTTTTTTTACCAAAATAAATTTAAATCTTTGGGTTATTTGTTGCAATGCACGATCATTTTAAAATTTTTGCTAACTTTTGACAATATTAAAAAAAATAAGCAGTATCGATATTTAATATTATTTTCAGAGTAGCATGCAGTAAAATAAAATCTGGAATCTGTCAGTGCTTATCACAATTCTGATAAGCCAAAGTTCGGGTATAAGACCAAAAAATTATAAATTTTCTCCCCATCATCCAATTATAAATTTTCTCCACAGCATTGCTCATTAACAGTCATTGATGACAATAACATTTGCTTTAACTAGTGATATTTTTAGTTATCATAGAATTGTTACCTTCTTCCAAAGGAGACATTCTTTTATGTGCAGCCATATTGCGAAGCTAATTCGAACCGAAATTTCTCCTAACGCTACAACCAATTCTTAACTGCTTTAAAACAGCGGCATTTAATACCCTTGTATTAGCATTAAAAAATCATTTCTATATTCCTTGATGTCTTGATGTGTATAACGATTTTGATAATTGGTGTGTTCGGGTAACTGAAATGCGTTTATGGCTTCTAAATTTGTCAGTATGTTGAGCAATTACTGATTGGTTAAATTTGAAAGCTAAATTAGAGATTTATGATTTACCGATTGGCTACTCGAAAAAACTATCTGTACATGAGAACGCTGGGAAGACAAATCAAAGATCTGACGTTTCACGCAATAAGAAAATTTGCTACCAGATGTAAATGATAAACGCATATTAATAGAAAATTACGTAATATAATAATCTAAAAGTTTTGGAAAGACTTCGTTAAAAATGTTTCTAACGTTAAAGCGAATTTGAGGTGTTTTTACAAAAAGCGTTGTCATTTAATTTCTAATAATCTAATTAATTATAACAGTATCAATTATCAGTTTTGTTGAAGAGGTTCGAGTAAATTCTGGAATATCATTTGTAATATTCAACTCCAAAAATAAAGTTTAACATGGTTTTTGTTTTAACATAACCCGACATTTTAAATGCGACTTGATCAGTGAGTAGTCATATGGCATATGATTTAATTTCAAAAGACTGAGGTGCCGGTGGTAATGACCCCAACAGTACCCCAACCTCGATTTTTTATCTGTATTATTCTAAAGAATAGAATCTCAGCGCTTGGCATCTCTTCCGTTTCTACTAACCTCTTAGTAGGACTTTCGAACCGAGTCAGTTTTAGTACCTCTACAAACAATCAAGGAACAAAAGTCCGTGCGCACCGTATCTGGATCTCTGCGGAAGCAGTTTCCACTTCCGAGTGTGGATCGGACCGTATATGGTTTAATTCTTGATGCTTACCAAGGCTGATATGCATCTTATGAATTTAAAGTAATATTACCCGCATTAAGAAAAAAAATATTAGTAGTATTTATTACAGTTGCGAGTATCGTTGTAATCGGATATTTCTGTTAGTAAAAGTATTTTCCTAAGCATTTAAATATCTCTATTCTTTCAATTTTAAACAGTCAGTCATCCATTGTATTCAGTGATACTTCAGACGTCAG